TTAAATTGCGAATCCTTAGAACAGATTCTTTTGTCGTAAATGTAGCCCAAAACAAACCCAATTTCTCCAAGAAAATCTTAAAATTTAAGCAGCTTTTCCATTAGTATTTTGCATATAAATTTCCTTACCTTTCTCCTGCAATTGCTGACGCTTCATATCGCCTTTGAGCACTTCCGCCGTGTGGACCAATTCATTGAGTTGTGGCTTTTTCATTTTCAATTCCCGTAAAACTTTCTGTTCGTTTAAAATAAAAGAAGGGAATGCATAAATAGAGAGGAATGCTGTGGAGGAATGTATAAAGGATAATGGCACCTCCTGCTTCTCGATGGCCATGCGAATGGCATCCACATCCTCGACAAGGACACTCTGTATCTTGATCATGTTTTGTTCCCAAGTCAGCCAATCGGAAATTTGCAGCACAGACTTATCGAAGCTGCCGGCCAACGCTCCACTGCCGCTCGGTTCGTTATTGTATTCTGTGGAACAAATGACAAGAGATAGAGAGGAGATTTTTGAAAAATTACTGCTGTGGGAAAATGGGAAATATTCAGGGGTGGTGGGGGAGAGGACTCTTTGCTAATTAGGTGCTCCAACAGTGACAGGTTCTCCCCTTTCATTAGCCCGTGCGTCACTGCTGGGAGAGGGGGCGATGACGATGATGATGATGAAGTTGCTCTCTCATTAAAACGCGGGGTTTTGGGTGGTCCTGTGGTCACCCTGTGATGGTTCTGCCTCCAACTTTTATCTCCTGCCTGCTGCCGTCTCGCTTCTTCTTCTTTTGACCACAATGGGGTCAGTACCAGCTGCGTATTGAATATCTTTTCCTACCTCTCTCTTTTTTTTCCTTTAAACTGCAATTTTATTTTCTCGTTTTTCTCAGAGTTTTCCCCTTTGTTTTTCCTCGTACATTATCCTTCTTTTTTTTGCACTTATTTTAGTCTTTTTTTTCTGCGTATTTTTCTTTATTTTGCCCTCTTATTTTTCCTTTGGTTTTCCCTCTTCTGCCGGCTCCAGAATCTCTTTACTTTGTTGCACATTTGAGGCAAAAGGCAAGTAAATGAAAAACTATTTCAATGAAGCAAAAGTTTCAAGTGTCTTCAGATGATGGACAAGCCACAGTGGGGCAATAGTCGAGGACTTAGGCAACTGAAATTCCGAATTCCAGGAAATATTTATTAATTGTAGAGAAACATGGCTTGAAAGCTTCTATAAAATTTGAATAAATTGAAAGAATAAATCTCAGTTCTTTTGGAGTGTTATTCCTTAAAGATTCTAGGTTTCAACTCTCACTTTTCCTCCTCTAAATACATATAAAAGGCGGGAAGTCAGCTTTTGTGCCTCGACAAAAACGTTAGCCCTTACTTTTCAACATTTAAATGTATGAAACAGGCCGAAGAAAAAGTTTTCAGCAAATGTGCCTCGACAAAAACGTTAAAAGTCTTAGAGGGCTATCCTTGTAAGCCTCTTAATACCAAAAAAATACTAAAAACCCAGTTCTTGAAGGAATTTAACCCCCGATTTTAGATCTCTTAAAATCATAACCCAATAAAAATTATAATTTCCATCACCTGCTACCCACTGTGCACAAACCGATTCCTTTGCTTGTCTTTTTGTATCCATCTCTGCACTGTTCCACTGCCACACTTGGACTCGAACTCGAAGTCAACCCCTGGCCAAAGAAAGGGACAATACTTGACAGTACAGTGCACCAGCACAGCACAGCACAGCACAGCACATAATAATATTATTCTTGGGTATCGGGGGGATCGCCCCTGTGTCTGCTTTTCCCCCTCGCATTTTCCCTCATTTTTGCTGCCCATTAAATGACAATTTTCAATTGGAATGCCATTCAAAGCGCACAGCAGAGCTCAGGGTGCAAATATCTCTGCGAAAAACTTGAAAAGGGAAAAAGGAAACACTTGAAATACTTGTGCGGGGGGCTAAAAAAAAAAAGCGCAAAGAAACGAGCAGGCGAAAGAGAATCGAAAGAAAAGCTTAAGTAGGCATAGAAGCAGAAGGCAAGGAGAAAACGAAAAGGTGTCTTCCTTTGTGAAGGGAGCCCCAAAACTTTGCTCCTTCTCTGCAAAAGTTATGAAAGTTTCCCTCCCTGCCAATAATCCGTGAAAACAAAACCAAACTACGAGTAAAACCAAAACCAAAACCAAAGGCAAAGAAAATACAAGAAAAATAGTCCGGTTTTCTTAGAGAATTTTTTTAATACACTTAAAGATATATTATTCTGAAACATTCATTGGAATATGATCAGATTTGGCTGAAACTATAGTTACTAGAGTTTTGCTTTTCTTATTGTTTAAACTAGAAGAATATTTCCTTCAAATACTAGTCTTACAAGCGAGCCTCTTTTTTTTAACCGATTCCGACTGAGATCTGTCTGATATCCTATGAGAACTCATGATAAATTAATCCGATTATAATGAAACTTAGTTAATCCATTTATATACCCGTAAAACTAGTACTTCCAACCTTTGGTTAATCTAACTTCAGAAAGCACAGAATAATAACTGATAATTCCTATGATACCTATATGATATAGTGATCCATATAGGATGAAACTTTGGTTAATTATATATCCCTATATTAAACGACTATTTCGAACGATTCGCTGTTATATTTTCAGAAACAACAAACTTATAATCGATTAAATCTTTGATATGTATAAAATAAAGTCAGCCGATTATGATCTGATTTAGCTAAAAGATGTAATCGTAGATAAAACTTCGTTTTTCAAAGCCTCATTGAAATATCTCTAGAAGGAACTGAGCTATGACCGATTTTTCTTATGATATCTATACGTTATAGAGTTCCAAACTCCTCCCCACAATCAAAATACCCTTCCCCTTTGAAGGGCATACAGAACAAACAAAAAAACATTGACTTTGTTTTCTGTGTGTGTTTTTGGGGGGAAATCTCCCATGTCCCGGACAGGATTAGGCGCGCTCGCGCGATGGACGCGTCTGCAAGGACAAGGGATTTGGGGGCGACAAATGCCAAGTCCAAGACGACAGTTGAAAACGTTCGGATCAGGGCATAGTCCTAGGGCCCGTGTCAAGTTGAGGAGGAGGCGTCTGAAAGCATTTAGAGGCGAGTGGAGGGGCTCCAGCCAGCGAATGAATGAATGGAGATTTTGAAGCACACAAGAAGCTGTTAGGCAAATATATATGCAAAAGGAAAACAGGAGTATAAAAAAATTATATGTATGCGAAAAAAAAGGAAACCAGAAAGAAATAATAACATGGGCTCCTACACAAAGGAGGGGGGTGGGGGATGTCCTCTCTCGAGTAGCAAAGTGGGAGAAACACGTTAAGTGTAAAATTTTCTTTTCACTTCATTCCCTGATGAATGTCCCTCCCATACGCGTATGTGCACCCCTTTGTGGCAGGTGCAAAATGGTAGAACATATCATGTATAAAAAAAAGAGGAAGAAAACCCAAAGAAAAGCAAAGAAATTGAAAGGAAACGAGCGGAACCACTGATAGCACTCGCTGCCTACATTTTCGCCCGCCCCCCCACGCCCACCCCCACTTCTTATCACGGAAGCAAACGCGTTCGGTCTACCAGGAAAATGTCATAATTCATTAAAAGCCAAAGAAAGCGTGAAATTCTCCCCCGAGCACTGCTGTCACTCAGAAGGAGAAGCTTCTGCCTCTGCTTCTGCTTGTGTTGCTGTCCTTTCCTGTCGTCCTGTTTTAAAGGACACCACCTAATATTGAGGACACCTGAGCAAAGGGCAAGAAACTCCTTTTTAAAGGCTCAAAGGCTCAAGAGGTTCGCCAATTTTATACACGACCTTGAATGGCATTTAATTTGTGATTTTCGTATTTTTGCGGGAAATAAATTTGAGACTTTTTGAGGAATGTTTGGTGCATACCTTTAATTTATTCCATTTTGAGTTGCCTTAAATATATTTGGCATTAATTTTAATATGGAATTCATTCACATTTCACTTTTAATTCATTTTATGCACTTCGTTTTTATTTGTTTACATTTAACACCTTTTTGTTATGATTTTTAAGCATTTCTAAATTATTTTAAAACAGTTTTGATGTCAGTATTGAAGTTTAAAAAATTGAATCATTTATTATGTTAATATTTTTTCATTAAACTGAATATTACCCGAGTATCACTTCCATTCAAGGATTTTCAAACATTTTTTTAAGAATATTAAACCTAGAATTTATTTGTTAGTTATTTTGATTGAATATTTTGTGCATATTTTAATATTCTTTCCTTCCTGTTCAAACACTATCCATTTATATATTCCCAATTTCTTTATTTATTTCCTGTGTTCTGGGGGACTTGTTTACTTCCTTGTCGCTGAACGTTTTCTTTTCAAATGTTTCGCTATTTCCGACAACAGCTGTTTGAAGGCGGCAAAAACAGGAAGTCTTGAAAAAAGCACAGGACCACACAAGCACCAGCAGTTGAGATGAATAAGAAAAATGCTTTGGTTTAAAAATTTGATGAAGTTTGCATTTTTGAAAATGAGTCACACATTAACCAGCTTTCGTCAGTAAGCACAGAAAAAGCTGTTCAAGCAGTTCACCAAACGGTTAACAGTTAGCAATATTCCTTAAACGGTTTCACAGTTTAGACTGCTTGTTGCACTGACCGTGCAGAAAAAACAACCGCAATTTGAATGAAATAATAAAAGGCCATGCAGTTCCTGTAACAGACCAAAATAATACATAACTGCAGATAGAAGAAAACTAAACGCCCTTTAAATCCCTGATATTTAACCACCCACAAAACTCCATAAATTATTAATCCACACAAGCAGTGCAAGAGGTTAACAGTTAAGAATTTCAGGCAGAGTTTGAAGCAGTTTAACCGTTTAACACGTTTAACGTCCAAAGCAGTGGTTATCAATTTGAATTCAAATTCAAAGAGGGTAGGTTATAACTTCAATGAATTTTTAGTAAGCCTTGATTTTTTTTTAGCTAAAATTCAGATGTAACAAGACTACAAATCAATCAAGACAATCAGAAACAAATAACTCTAGCAGTGAAACGGAACGATCACAAGCGAAACACACATAAACACGGCCAAAACGGGACACACGCTACAATACGACCCAAAAAAAAAAAAAAAAAAAAACTCCTAGGAATTCTTAAAAATGGTAATACCAACCCATACCAGCCACAACGTACCTCTAAAACTCTACAATCCCTAGACATCACTACCCAAATACTCTTCGATGAGACGGAAAAAACCCGACCAAGCGAGCTTGGATGATTCGATACGGAAGCGCATGTTCCGGTTGAAATTCCAACACACCGAACCGCTGGCCGTGAATCTAAGGGAATATGGTTTGATGCAAACCAGCCGCAAGGCGGACACGCCGTATCCCCGGGCTGAGAAGGCCATCGATCCGAGTCTGCTGAAGGCGCGTCTTGTGGAGAGCAAAAAGATGTATGGCAAGGACCTGAAGAACGTCCCCTCCATGCAATCGACGGGCAGTGCGGAGGCACACAACGGACAAAACCTGCAACACATAAGGAGTGTGGAGGCGGCCCCAGGACCCATGCGAGACAGTGCCAGTCTTCTGTTGGGCACGCCCCATCCCCGCAAGGGCAAGGCCCTCGATCCCAAGTCTCTCATCCGACATCTGAGCACAGCCAAGGTCAGACGTTCATCGTTGTTGGGTGCGGCTCGTAGTTCCTACGGACATCTTCCCTCCTCACGCCCCTCCTTGTCGGCTCATGTACGGGAATCCGACAGCGCGCAGCAATCCAGTCAAAGCCCCTCGGCGCTGACCAAACACAACCTCGGCATTGGCACGCCGCATCCAATTAAGGGCTACATCCTGAATCCCCATGATCTGACCAAACGCCTGGAGGACAAGGTCGGCAAGGCCGGCATGGCCACCACAGCGCCCCGAAAGGATTCCCCTTTGAAGCGCCCGCAAGGCCAAAATAAGGGGAAAAAAAAGGTGAGCATTTCATTGGAACGCGTCAGCACCGAGGATATGAGACAAACCTCCTGTCTGAGCTTTGGTTCGGCGCGCCACGACGGCGCCAGCCTCTCGGGCAACAATAGCAGCTTCCTGACGGTGGAGAGCAGTCATGAGTCCACCAGCTTCTTGAAGATGTCCTTCGAGGAGCGGCGGCGTCTCTTCTACCAGGCAGAGTTCACCATCGCCAAAAACGGGCGAAAGATGAGCGACGTTGTCATGGCAGTGCCGCAGAAGGTGGTGGAGATCAGCGACAAGCATGAATGGCAGGGCCACGACGAGGAGGCGGACGAAGAGCTCGAGGAGTTCATAAAGAAACAGGGTCTGATCAAAACCGAACGCGATCAGCTGACCATCACAAAGATGCCGCCAGCGACACTCTCGAGACGGTCGAGCGAAACGGACTCCGTGAGGAGCCGTTCACGAGGCAGCCGCAGGAGCTCCATGAGACGCTATCGCTCCTCAAAAAAGAACATCAAATTTAGTGCTTCCGATAAAGAAAAGAAGCCGCATCCCGACGTATAAATGAGAAGAGAGGGGGCCAAGAGTAGAGAGGGTACTGCAGAGTGAGAGAAGAAAAGTGGGAAAAATCCTCAGTTCTCTTTTCTTACTCTGAGTATCTCACTCTTTTGGCAGCAGTTTTTTTGAGCAAATTTCAAGTCTAATTCTTCCAAAACCGATCTTTTCTTTCGATCTGATAATCCTTTATTCATTTAATACCAAGCGATTAATCTTAAAAACGTTATGTTTTACGAATAAATTCCAATCATTGAATATTTTAGTGTTGATCAAAGAGTCTATTTTGCAGTGTTGGCAACGATCAATGCGAGATTTCTTCTCTTTAGTGGGAAAAACCTTTTGGAAGCGTTTTTATATTAATTATATCAACTTCTAGGATGAATACCTGACCTAATCATTGACCTACTGGCTTTTGGTACAGGTACTAGAATATTTTACAGCTTCAGTGTAAATAAAATCGTCCTTAAATTTGGAAAATCTTCAGGTTTTTGCGTTAAGTCCATTAAATCCAAAATTTAGTTGAGATAGAATCAGGAATTTTCCAGGAAACCTTTTCTTTAAAATTAATAAAACAGGAATTCTCTTTAATTGAACTCCAGTGAAACAAATACTGCATTCTTTAGGATCTGCATCCCTGAGTGAAACATCAAACGGAGTTCCATTAAATGATAATCGTTTTGAAAGAATTACAATTATTATCTGGCAATCCAATCCGCCATCCGACAGACAGTTCCTGATACACCTTTATCGAATGTTAATCGAATCGAAAGCCAGAGATACGTATTTGCTTCTGGCAATGAAAATATCTCTCTCTTTCCCTGGGTGTTTTTTTCTGTTATTTTGAAATATTTATCAGCATCTGGTTGCATCTGTGTTATGGCAACAGGCAATACGAGACAGAGGCAGTGCCACCAGAGTGCCACCGGCCTCTGCACTCTCCACTCTCCTCCGTGTTTTTGTTGTTGTTGTTGTTATTGTTTTGTCTGTACAAGTAAGTCAACACCGAAAACATTCACATAAAATGTCAAAAGTGCCATTGACATGCGGCATTTGGCTGCTGCTGCCGCCGATTGCCGATTGCCGGTCCACAGGCGACTGAGCGGACGCATGCTTCACGGGCTGCCCTTTTTTCAATACAAAATATAAACAAAAAGCCAGGGAAATATATGTGAAAATAAAGGGGAATATGGTGCTGTTGAACACCCTGTAATGGGGTGTTGCAGGTCTTTCAAAGCAATCGAGAAAATGAGCGGAAAGTCACAGATGGGTTCTGTATTTCTGTGTTGATGAAAACTACAGCCTTTTTAAACATAATCAATGTTTGCTGCTTTTTGCTGTTGCACAATAAACTGTTAGAGAGCCTCCTTTTTGGTGTTGGTTGGGAGTCTCTTTTTTGGATAATATCTTCCTTAGTGTTGGTTAGAACATAGAGCAGTGTTTGTAGCGACCCGAGAGACTATTTTAGTATTGATTAGAGCAAATAACAGTGCTGTTAAAGACGTTAAGGACGCCTTAATTGAACTGCTTTAAAGCTATTCATTAAATCTTTTAGTATATCGATCAAACCAGAATCCAACCATCCATTCGACCCTTAATGCTACCCTAGACTTTCATCATTCTGTATAAAAAAATTACGCTTTTCTCGGTCCCATAAAAAAAAAACTATACAAAATAAATAAACAAAACAAACAACATCCAATACCAAAAAAAAAAAGAAAAACAACAAAAAAAACCCATTCAGAAATGCAACAAAACTGCATACGGATACAAAATACTTTTGTGCGGTGCGTGCTTTTTCAAGAGTTTTTCCCTTTTTACGTTATTTTTTTTTTGTCTGTGATGTCTGCTCATATTTTTGCCAAAGAAAATACTACCACAAGGGGAGGGCTGCCAGTGCCCGTTCCAGAGATTATTGAATTTCAATTATGGTTAAATATTTGCATGGCATTCGATAACAATACACAAGTTTTAATTGGGTTTCTAATGAAAACACAAAAACAGTCTTTGGAAAATGCAAAATTAATAAATGAATAGCTCGATGGGAAATACGAGAGGGATTGTGTGGAATATTTAAATAGATTTCTGCAAAATATATATTTTGAAAGAGAATATTGTTGGAAATTTCAATGATATATTGATTGGGTTACATTTTTAGAGGATTTTAAGGTAGGAGGAAATAAGAGAATTTGTTTTTTGTTTATTCCATCCTAGCTATCTCTTAGAAGGCCCTTATCTATCAGAAATCATCCTTTAATGAGATATCTGCATTGGAAAACAACTTTTTTACAGATATTTCTATCAGAAGTAATTCTCCACAGACTTCCAATGAAGAAACAACCTAATATATACTTTATTCAGCCATCTAATTCCCTATCCTTTCCTTTTCCCTCATTATGCAGCAATAAAAAAGCATTTAAAACCTCCTGAAACTAACTTTACCCAGAGCCACATGCACACACACACACTCACTTTGAGTCCTTAGTTCTTATGTACTTAGCCCTCAATTCTCCATCCTCTTAGCCCTGTCAACAACTCTTTCACTGTCTTCCCTACCATTTAAGCCATCAACTCGAGCGTAAGCCAAACACAATTGAAGACCACCAGAAACAATGCTAGAGCGGTACGATGGGATACGATCTTGGGGAAAACTATTACAAACAATCAACCATCCAGTGGTGAGGGGTGGTGGGGAAAACTCACCCGAACGTTGGGCAATGGGCGGCACTCTTTGGTCGCTTTCCTTGCCATTGGAAATTCGGTTGCCATTTCGCAGTTCCGTCAATGAGAGCTCTATGGCATCCGCATGAGCAATCAAATTGTTTTTCGTCTGTGAAAAGAACAGAGAACAGTAGTTACAGAATGGAAACACAATGGAATGGTTGTGTAGATGGATGTTCATACCTTTTCAATTTCGTTCATCATGAGGGGCGTAACCTTTGGCATTTGGGCGTTCTTGCCAATGGCGCCGACAATCACCTGTAAATCGTCGTGACGCTCCTGCAAGAAAAGATAAAAATGCAGGAATAAAAGATGCATTTAAAGCTTTAAAATGTGTGTGTGTGTGTGTGTGTGTGTGTGTGTGAGATGGGGGGGAAACGGAGGCTCCAATACACATACGGAAACAAAATGGCCAACAGCGATGGGAATTCAATTTCAATTGCATTCATGCAAGGACTCTCTTCCACTCTGTCTCTCTCTCTCTCTCTCTCTGGGGTGACTGAAATGCGTCTTGTACTGGTTGGATGATGGAGGGACGGTGGCTACCTCTCCTCCTCTGACAGCATTTGCCAACCAACAAAATTGCATTTGATTTTGAACCTCGCGTTGCGTTTTTTTTTCGCGCCCAAACCTGAATTTTCCGCAAATTTACAATCAATCAGCGAATCAACAAACACACCACAGAAAATATATATACAGAAGAACCGCCTCCACTACGAGATGCCGCGCTACTGAAGAGTGAAAGAAGCGCAACAAAAAAAAACCAGAAATAAAACTAAAAACTGAAAAAGAGAAACATATTGTATGTGTGAGGGGGGTTGGGGGTCGTCTGTAAAATTAGGTTTTTCCAATTCTCTCGCTCTCGCGTGTGCTCTCTCGGAAAATACGGAAAATTCGCTTTTCTATTTTTGATTTTTTTTATATTCCTTGCGCTTGTCGCCATCCCCACATTGGGGCCATAAAATCAAACAAAACAACAAATGATTGCAATGATTAATGGATTGTGATGTCGTCTAGGGATGGAAACTTGTTGAAATTCGGGCACTTTTTTGTGCCGGCGGCGATCTATCATATGTTCGGAAGGGATTTTATTCGCTTTAAAATTTGAATTGAACATCTTTTTGGAGCAATGAATAAAGGAAGTTTCCAAGAAGCTACTAGGTCTTGTTTAAAACAGAGAACTTTCGAATCTTTAAGCGCTCTAATATTTTCCATAATTCTCCAACAATTTATTTCCTTAATTCCCCTTCACTTCATTCCCATTTAATTTATTCCAGAAATACTATAAAAATATGTTCTTCTAAGAAAGAAAATTACGTTCCTTAAACGCTTTAATATTTCCCATATTTCTCCCGCAATTTCTATCTGATATTCCCTCTCCAAATCACTCTTTAATTTCTATACCAAATGACATGCTTCATTCATAAATTTTCTTAGTTTCAATTCATCAAAAATCAACGAAAGAAAGACCAAAGAATATTTCTTTGATAAAACATGTCATGTCCAACCCTTCAAGCACCCATCATCCATCAAATGCACATCCCATGACCTCTCCTCTCTCTTGATGCTCTCTTATTTTTTACTATTCTGCTCTTAAGTTCTGACCCACAAAGGAAATCTCCTACTAAATGCACACAAATGCTGCCATCGTCGTCGTCGTCGTGTAACTGTGTCAGAAATATGTATTTTTAGGCCTTCTAATGGACCCATTTAGCCACGCTAGAAATACTGTGGTGCCGCCTCCTCTGCCTCTATAGCTCGGAATGCCTCGAGAGGGCAATTAACTTTCTATCAGAGCTGTTCCTCTGTGTGTGACGCGTATGAGTAATGCCAGACGATTAAATAAATCTCGTAATTTCGCACAACCAGATGTTCCCCGCAATGCACAGAGATCTCTGGCATCCAGCCAGAGATGCGATGATCATCCACGCGCGAACTTACATTGATATCATCCATGCGCTTCTCAAGATCACCGCTGGACTTCAAGTCCACAGGTTTCTCAATCAAGACATTAATGCGACGCAGTCCCTTGGTGACAAGTTCTTCAATGTTGACGCTTTCCAGCGGTGGAGCAGCCGCACCACTTCCCATGGTCTTTGATCTGTGAACAAAGAACATTCCCATAAGTGACAAGCACACAACGATTTTTCTTTGATATCAAACCTCGCTTGTTGCACTTCTCGGAACTGTTCGCGGAGTATGATTTGTGTTCTCATGACCAAACGAGAGATGCTTCCCTGTCGGCCATGGGTCTCTAGAACCAAAGAATCCCCCTGGGATATCAATGTGGCCGCATCGGGTGCTATCAGCAGTCGCAAATCCTCTCTATAAAAAGATACTTTCATTAGAAAAAAGATTTAAAATGGTATGTACTCCTTTCTTACGCTTCACTCTCATGACACTGTTCGATCTTGGCTTTTGTTAGCTTCAGTTTATAGATCATCTGCTTGGCCTGTTTATCGAATTCCCTCACACGATCATCCAAACTCTTGGGCTCTTGGGCTCCCAGCGGACTCTTGAGGGTCACATTCGAATCA